ATAATATATAATATGTATATGTAAAGTAGGCAGATAAGACTTCCAAATTAATTAAGGGAGCAAAAAAAAATTTTAAAATTTTCGGTGATTTTAGAAAGGCTGTATTTCGGTGAAAAATGGTCCTGTTGAGAATTAAAAACAAAACCCACTTAGAAGTCTATAATTTTCAGAATAGAATATGAGGAAATATACTACATTAATTTTTATTTTTACCACTCCGAATTTAAAATTTGAAATCAATGTAGGCGGAAATTTCCATTGTTAGATGCATTCTTCAAATTTTTTTAAGAATTTTGGGAATATGGTGAAAATGTAGCAGCAGCGGGTCCACCGAAACAAGTAAAATTATGAAAGTGGTCTACAAGAAAAAAAAAGTTTGGGAAAGTCTGATCTAGTAGATTAAGCAAACAGTTTGAACCTTTTTGGCAGTATACATGAGTAAACATTTTCTCGAATGCAAATTTTCACCAACTTAATATTTACTTTTAACTAATTTTATAGAAGTAATTATTTTTTAATATATTTAAATGACACCCTCCAGCCAGAATTTTTCCATACCAAGAAAATTTTACTATTCAAGCAACTTATTGCTTATTTTAAATATGTATGCACCTAACCATTATTGCTCCGTATGGTTTACCTTTTTTTTTGTTTTAGTCGCTGAGTTATGTTCGCACACATGTTACTTAGTTTACATACACCCAGTAGAAAAATTCTGCAAACTTGAAGCATGAAATAATTTTTGTGCCTTCAGAATGCTTTACCACTGGTAGAGAAAAAAACCACATATTGAGTAATACGTTTTGAATAATAATTGCGAAATGAATGTTTTATACTAGAAGCATACTTGTGACCTTAAATCCTATTCCTAACTTATTCACTTTCAAAAAACAATCCCTTTATTGCGAGTACTGAAATCCAGGAAATTCGCTTCATAAAAAAAAATTTAGTTCTTCCAAAAGCTGTCTTATAGTTTTTCAACAGAGTGTGCAGCCAACGATTAAAATAGATAAGTGCGTCTATGTGTGAACTTAATTAACATACAACAATAACTACAACAAAGCATAGCATCGATAATGCTAATATATGTATATGTACGTCTAGCAACGAGAAGACAACAAGAAGACAAGAAAATCAAAAGCAGCTACACCACATCGATACGCTAATTCATTTACATACATTAAAATGTTTACTCTCGTTATACATGGGTTTAAGTATATGTATGAAGTTGTATACATATACGGCATCTGCTTCTATATAATGATGACCTTCAAAACATCTTCGGTGGCCGCGGTTTGTGTGGCATCATTTTCAAACTGAGCTGACGTCTTCGAAGCATTTTTTTTTCTTTTGGTTTGTGTTTTTTCACATCACTTTCGATAGTTACCCTTGAATTTGGTTTTGTTTTTTGTTTTTCTTTTTTCTTTTATTTATTTTTATTTGATTTGTTGTCATTGTTTTGCGTGATATGCAAATGACTCTTTTTTTTTAATATTCATATTAGCAGGCAAGCAGTATTTCTGTCATAAATAAAATGTTCATAAAATTAATTTAAATAGACTACACTGAGCGTATGGGTAACATTTTTCAAGCAAATTAGTTTCAAAAGCTAATTTTAGAAAGATATATGTATGACTACCACTTAGAGTTCTAAGATTACTTTATATACCTAAATTCAAAATAAAATAATTGAAAATAGTTTTTGGGTTTTACATAGTTTACCGGAGTTCCCTCAGGCTAGAAATAGTCTTGACTTTCTCGAAACTGAAATATGTATGTATTAATAATAGTTAAAAGTATATTTTAAAAATTTTTGAGTGTACGTAAATTATCAATTTTTGATGTAAATTTTTTTTAATGCTTCTGGCAACCCCATTAGGAACTATTTCTGTGATATGTATATTGCTTTAATGTTTTTTTGCTCGCAAGATTAACCTGTGCACCCATTTTATAAAATTTTATCTAGGTTACTGACAAAATTAAATTTTTTAATAAGTGGCAGCCCAAATAAAAGTTCTTTCCAATTAAAACAAATCTTTCTACGTAAAACATATACATATGTAAATGTTTTTCACAATTAGCTATTTTAAGTTATTTTAGTAAAAAATATGGGTGGCAACTCTATTAGCAAAAGTTTATAAATTAGAGTAGTATACATACAAGTGCAATATCAATGGTTTAGAGCTTATTTTTTAATAGTATTACATTTTTAAAAATTTACATTTAAAATATGGCAACCCTATTTAAAAACATCTTACTTCCAAAATGACTTTTTGCTTGATTAGTCAAGAAAATAATGCGCATAACTAAAATTTTTATGTAGCTTATACATAAAATTAAAATTTTAAATAAGTGGCAGCTCAATAAAAATACATTGTTCAAAATTTAAGTTACCCAAAACAGTTTAAATAAATTTCACACTAATACATTTTTTTTAGCTACTTTTTTTAATAAAAAAAATATAAATGCATGTATATACCTCCATATGTGTGCACATATAAGCTTCTGCTTCTTTGCATTATTGTCCTTTTTATACATGTAAAATTTTTTTTAGTAGTGGCAACCCGTTTGAAAAAATCGTACTCAAAGCTTGCACACCAACCTTTATTTTAATACCATTAACGTTTTTTTTTTTAATAACTACAAATTTTTAAAATTATTTTTCAGATAGGTGGCAACTTTTACATACAGATTTTTATTCTTACACTTATTTTCAATAATACATACATAATTATTTCAACAAGCTTGTTGAGCTTTATGCCACGATTTAGTTTTTAGTATACTTTCGTTTAGTATAAACATATAGAAATTTTTAGCACTAAATTTATTCAACTAATTTTAATCATATATGTATATAGATGGCAACCCTATTAAAAATGGCTCGAGTAAAGTGTTCTGAGATATATTGTTCCCATAGTTCTAATTTAGGTTTCAATTTTGTAAATAGTTGGCAACTCTGGCCATAAATTTCAACCCCCGTTTCATTTATTTGTTGACCCCAATGATTTACACAAATTTTTTACAAATTTCAAATTAAAAAATTGCAAATTTACATAGTTATTATTGATTTTATAAATTTTTTTGTTTTGTATAGATGGCAACCCTGTTCAAAAATGATTTTGATGCTAATATTTTCAGTATTGCGTACTTTCGTGGAATATAAACATTTGCATATTTTCCTCTCAAAATTTATTGAATTAATTTTAATTATAAATATAGGTGGCAACTCTACTAAAATATCATGGATAAAGTGAGCATTCAAACGAGCTGCAACTATTTTTATTTTAAAAATGGCAGGCAACTTTACTTGTAGTTAACAGTCCCTTGTACGTCTTTCATACCATCGCTGACCACAAATAATTTTCCTAAAAAACTTGATACTCGCTTCACACATACACCTTAGCCACATTCTTAGCTTTTTGCTGATGTGAATACATATGTACATATCTATGTATATGTAAATATTTTTATTTCATGTTCCAACCAAAAATTTTAAACCTGGCATAAAAATATTTTACAGCAAATAAAAAAGGCAATCTCGCCAATCTGAAGGTTAAAATTGAATTAACAATAAATTTTTAGCGCATGAAATACGAAAGATTAAATTAACACGAAAAAAATTATGGTCCATCGTGTTTGTTTTCACTGCATAGTAAATAATTTCATAACATTTTTTTTTGTGAGCTTTTGTTTATTAATATTTTTTTATTGTACTTAATTGTCGTTCAATACCTGCACTCAGACATGTGCGTGTCTTTATTTGTATATGCATTAGTATACATGTGAAAATATAAGCACATGCACGTGTGTATGTATGCACGCCAATATCTTTATGTATGGATCTTTCATTATTAGACGCACTCACACACGTACCTACTAAAAAACTATTGGCAGTGACACAATTTTCGCACTGGTTTTTCGAGCCTCAACAACTTGGATTAGATGTTTTTTAAATTCCGCCTCCCATTGACATGCACGGCAATCGATTGTCTGCTGGATTACAACATAGATGAGCTCACATTTTAAGTAAATTGACTTTCCGTTTTTATTACTCTCCAGAGCTACTAAAGCTGTTTGTATAAAAATGTGGTGGAAACGAAATTTGTGAACATTTTGCATCGGCGGGTGCTTGAAATTTCATTTGCACTTTGTTAGCATCGCAACTGCATGATTTCTGTTTGATTTGTTTATTTTTACGCTAGGCAAAAACTTAAAAAAACGAGAGTAAATTTTTCGCACTACCACTCCGTAGGACCTGGGTTCGACCACTTGTCTGGGTAACATCAAAACTAGAAAATATTTTCTTTAATAGCGGTCGCCCCTCGGCAGGCAATGACAAACTTACGTGTGTATTTCTGCCATGATAAGGCTTCTTATAAAATCCATTTGCCATTCGGAGACGGTGTAAGACTGTAGCCCACCATAAATTGAAGGAGAAGCTCGGCCAAATACTCAACAAAAGTGTAAGCGCCAATAT